CATATATAAAATTGTGTATATATAAAATATAAAATTGTGTATCAAAATAATGCCCTTCAGTGCAAAAGAAGAAAAGTCACCCAACCTCTTAATAGTCTAATGGCAATTTCTCCTTTCATTTTAGTTAATGAGAGGGGAATCTTCACTCTGTTGGTCGTTTTTTCCTGGTTTATATTATGTCCAATAAAGTCAGTCTTTTTTTTCCCCGTAACGAATTACCTTAATTCGATTTTTTATTTAGTTTTCTGGTCTCACTTGTACTCTGGAAGATTACACCTTCCGAGCGACAAAGAGCAACGAAGTTTTACATTTCTAATTAGGAAACAGGTAATTTGTCTCCTCAACATACTTGAATTACCCGTAGCTATCACTCAAGAACAGATGTTATTTCTGGATTTATTCAGAAGCGCGCTAAACACCGGTAGCCTTAAACCAGGGCTGCCGGGCCTGGGCTACGACAAACCTAGAACGGATGACAGACAAGCACGTTCCTTGCTGCCGTTCAGTTTTTGCAGCCCGGATCTGGCAGCCTTAGCTAAGCGCGCGTGTGGCGCGCTAGGGCCGTGGACGCTATCGGTCAAGGGAGCCAGGCGGGTGAGGAGTGGTAGCTGCCGCTATGGGCTCCCGTCGGAGCAGACCCGGGCCTTCCTGAACTGCGAGCGAGCGCGGTCGCTTGTTCCTCCGCCCCTCGGTGCAAACGGGAAGCCGCAGGCATGGCCGGAGCGCTGGGCGCCGCGCTCCTTCAGCGGAACCGTCGCTCTTGCCCTGCGGGAGGAGCCCCCGGAGCCCCAGGAAGTGGGAAACTCAGAAGCGGATACAATGGCGGACGAGATGGAAGAAGGAGAGACTTCGCGGCGCTGGGAGCGGTAAAACGCCAGCGGGGGGAGCCGGGGATAAAGGAGGGTTTGGGGAGTCTTCCTGCCGCCGGGGAGCCCGGGACTGTGATTTCTCAAGGTGCTGCTTCTGCCGCCGCCTCCTGGGCCTCTCGTGGCTCTAGAGCTACGGAGGGATCGCGGGCGCCTGCCCGCAACCCGACACCTGCCGGGCGGGCTGGGAGTGGAGGGAAACTCCGGGCTTGCGCTGAGTGGGAATGGCGGGAACTGCACTCGCAGCCCGCTTGAAAGCCCCACGGCGGGAGGGGGGGCTGCAGGGGACGCTGGCCGGCGCTGAGCGGAAGAAGACTCGCTTCTAGACCTGAGTGCGAGCAGCCCGGAGCATGCAGAGGAGGAATTGGGGATTGCGGGCCTAGACATTGTCCGCTGCTTTTCTCCTGTTTCTCTACCGGGGCCAAGCTGTGGCCTTGATTCGAAGGGGAAAAAAGACGGGGAGCCTGGCCGGCGGAGGCCCTCATGGCACAGGAGCCTGTCGTTTCCTGTGCTTTTCCCTTTCGAGTCCACATCGCTACACCTCCCTGCCTACCATACTAGGTTTTAGTCACATTTCAGAGACAGGTGAAAAGTCACCGTCTGAAAAAAAAAAAAAAAGTAAATCAGTAAAAATCAAAAGTCAGAGCAGACTTCTTTGGAGAAACTTCTCCCTCTTCACTAACTCTGTATCAGATTATATTGCTTTCCTGTGATTCTTTGGTTCTCTACTCAAAATACTCTTTTTTCTATATTGAAATATTCTAATTGAACATAGAAAAAAGAGTATTTTGGGTAGAGAACCAAAGAATCACAGGAAAGCAACATAATCTGATACAGAGTTAGTGAAGAGGGAGAAGTTTTTCTCTTTGTCACATAGTACTAGAAGCTCAATTCATCCCATGAAAACTAGCGGAGATTTAGGGAAGATGAAGAAAATGCTGGACAGTAGTTAAAATAGGATCTCAGATATTGATCTCCCCAGTTCCTGTTAGCCTCAGGGAGCTGGTGGAAGGTCACAAGTTGCCGATATATGGAGATCTGCAGGATCCCTGTTTATGAATTGATCAGTGGGATTACTGCCACAAGGACATTGGAGATACATTAGCCCCAGTATCAGAGGCAACATGCTTCCACGTACCAGTTACTAGACAACTGGAACAAGAAACTGGGTTCATTCCTTGTTTGTGGAGTTCCCAAGAGCACCTGGTCAGCCACTGTGGGATCTGAATATTGCATTTGAATATTCCTCTAGATTTCTGTGGCTGTTCTTATGTTCTTCAATTAATGCCTCAGAAGCAAGCCTCATTGTTTTTTTGAACTGAGTTAAGGTTATGACTACAACTCAGTAGTTTATATGCCTGACCAAGAAGGCATTTGGAGTCTGTGTATATTAAACATATGAAGGACAGAAAATTGATGTTACCAGTGAATACCAGACATCTTGCGGGAGAAGCTGAAGTTAGTATACTATCCCATCGGCATTCCAAAATTGGAATGAATCTGCAGGGTCTATAAGACCATTCAGAAAAGCTTTTAGAAAGTGCATGCAAAGTGGGAATGGTTTTCAAAATGAAAAAGTGTGGATTTACAATTAAAAGTAAAGCAGCGTATCTGCATCTTTCTACATATCCATATTGACTGAGATAGAAAGCATCAAAAAATCAAACCATCACTTGAACATCATTTCCAATTTCGTTAATTCTTTTTGAAGGGGTTGAAGACTTTTTATATTTATGGAATAATTGAGTGGTGGTGGGGGCCATTTCTTAAGTTCTTTGAAACTAGTAAGGTTTCATGGTTATTAGTTTGAGAAAAATATTTTTTTCCTTTTTCAAAAAACCCAAAATAGTTCAATGTTCTATTCTGGAATCATTTTTGTTGGTTTACATGCATCTCTCTCTCTTTTTCATTTGTTACCTCTGTTGAAACATCCATTACATCACCCATAATGCTTTTCGCCTGTCCCCGGCCTTAAATGGTGCTGGGAACAGGCAGGTTCTACCTAGTCCTATTGTATTCCTTAGTCAACAAATCCAGATGAAAGAAGATGTGATTGAACAAGACACAGAGGAATGGCAGAGCAATTTCTCCTTTACTGGACTAGAAAGAGTTGGAGGAATGGATTTGTCTTATCTCAAAGGAGATGCTACACGTGCCTGTGCTTCACTGGTGGTGCTCAGCTACCCAGACCTTGAGGTAACAATGATAAAAGGTTACAGGCAAGACAAGGAATTTTTGAACATCACGGGTTAACATAGAGGAATAAAACTCCAAATCTCCCAAAGTTTGACTACCTGCCTTAGTAACTAACTTAGTTGTCTCGGTGGATTCCATCTGCTGAGATATTTTTTCCCATAGTACTGTAGAATTGAGGATAAAATCTTGGAAGCAATTTAAGAGACAGTGGTGAGTTCTAGGATTGTTGCCAAATTTAAGTATGTTCCAGTTGTTGTCAGTTTAACTTGTCATTTTTCAAACTCTGGTCCTCTGATTCTCAGGTTGGGGAATGTTGAGGCCCATCAGTCCATCAACATTCTCTGGGTGAAAAGGGTATACAGCATTTTCAAAGGTTTATAAGTCTTTGCAAGTTTTGCTGTATCACAGTGAAGTTAGTGGAGTTATAATTTTGCTCCTTACCATACTATGACGTCTATGTGCACCACAGTTACCTACAAGAGCGTCTCTTCAGAAGACCATTGTACTTAAGAGAAACTCTATCAGAAACCACAAGATCTACTATAAGGATGGGTGGATGGGTACGTGTGTTTTCCACTGTTTCAGCCACTCCCCAATAGGTTTTCTAGGGCACTTTTGATTTTTCCATGGAGAATGAGCTGTTATGTTTGAAGATATATGTTTTACCTCTTTGCAAGCACTTTTTTAATGTTGTGTAGAGAAATACAGATATTATGTAGGGCCACTTCAGTTGCAAGAGAACACAAATGGGATCCACTGTCCGCTACATTGAGCAATCAAAGTGTTCCTGACCTTGGCTGTTTGCTGCCAAATACAAAATCCTGGGGCTGTTGGGAGAAAGAGAACTGGCAGGAGACAGGCCTCTTTTCAGCTCTTAGACTTGGCGAGAGAGACAGTCTCAAAGAGCAGTTTAGTAGACGAAGGAAAGGGGTGTGATGCTTCTTCTGTTTTAGTCTAGATCAGAAGCAGGAAATCTTTTTTGACCTAGGCCTGGGTTTTTATTTCTTTCTTTGCTTAATATTTTAAGTAAATAAATATCTACTTAAATAAATATTTATTTACTTACTATTTTAAAGCAGTCTCTGGAACTACAGGGAGCAATCTGATGTTATGATGACAGTAGATGCTTTGCCTTGCAGAGGCTTACTGTGCTGTAATCTATTCTCACCGTGCATTTGCAAACACAAAAAAGGTTAAATTTCAACCATTTTGCTGCTGAGTTTTGGGCATGCAAAATGGGAACTGGGAGGTCCATGCAGCTCATGGGTTGTGGTTGCCCTCCTCTGGCCTGGATGACATTGAAAATATTGGTCTTGCTCCCTGGCAAAAATGTTATTCTTCTGCCATCACAGGTCCTCTATGAAGATTGCTGCGTGGTGGCTGTGAACGCTCCCTATGTGGCAGGATTCCTGGCTTTCCGAGAAGTCACTTTTCTACTGGAGGCTGTGCAGCGGCTGGAGGTGCAAGAGCCTGGCCTCAGGCCCCAGGTGGGAGAGTCTTCTTTTATGAGAGGAATGCTGCTGCACTATTGCCAAGGATCCATTTCATCCAGCATTCCCCTCTTTGGGAGAGTCAACTACCAGGGCTTGAAAACTTCTGGCCCCTAGCATTTTGTGGCTTACTCCCTCTGGATATGGATGTTCCCTCTAGGTATCCATGACTGTTCTTCTCTTTCCTGAATGGCCAGTAGTCACTAAGAACATCTCTCTGATCTCTCTAGAGGGTTTGGGGCCAAAGCCAACATCTTTAAACTGTGCTACAAACCCAACAGAACAGCTGCTTGAACCTAGTTTAAAAGCCTCTTCTGTTTAGTCATCCAGTCAGAATGAAAAGCACCCTTCCTGCCAAAGCCAGGGCAAAACAGCTGGAATGGCTTCATTCTAGGATACTGGGGAAGGGTCCCAGCTGCTCACCAAGATAGCACATCTGGAGCCCCCCAGCAGCTTTTTTCTCACAAAACAGATGCGAAAAGAGATTCTTGGAACTAAAGCACCCTGCAGATGTATTGGGATGACAACTCCCATAATTCCCAGTCTGCAAAGCCATAACTTGCGTTGGCTTGAGAATGATAATATTTATAAACCCATACACCTGGAGGACACCAGCTGGGGTGGGAACTGAACTGAACAATGAACATGAATTTGGACGTGCCAGTTTTCTTAAATATCTGATCTTGAGGGAGGACAAACTATTCACTTCCTGTACAGCAGACTCAAGAATGTATTTCAGTACTGAGACAATCTTGGCGAAGATTCTGTGACTAGGTCTCGCTTCTTTCTTAGTCGGTGAGAGCAGGGAAGGTGACCACCAAGGACATTTGCCTGCTTTTTTGAGATACTTTGTGATACAAACCAACACTTGCAGCACCAACATCTCAATTACTGCAAAAGCTTCCCACTGTATGTTACCTATGACTAATGTGCCCCTTTGTGGTTTTTCTAGGTGCTTCTTGTAGATGGAAATGGGATCCTGCACCACAGAGGTAAGTCTCCTGGTCCATCCTTGCCAGTAAATCCTTTAGATTTACTTTCCATCTCTGAGCTGTTTATAGCATGCGTGGAAGATGCCAGCATGGGAAGTCACTGGATTGGTTTCTCATTAATGTTTGCAGAGCTCTTGGGGAAGAAGCTATTTGTGCTCACCTCTTTCTTGGCAGTTGTCAGAGGGGGAGCAGGGGGCAAGCAAAAGAATTCCATCTCCTCTCTGTAGGCTGGAACTAACCTGCTTGGTGACAGTAGCTGAAAAGGCTGCCCCCTGCCTCACCCAGAAGGAACAGCAGAGTAACCAGTAGGCCTTTTGAAGGGAGGTGAACATCAACAAATGCACTGCATGGTTGATACCAGCCTTATTTCCCTCTTGTTGGTTTCAACATGGTTTTAGCCCTTCCTTTGGGAACTTGTTGGAACTCATGCCCTCATAAAGTGGCCCCAGATTTTCTCTTCAGAACCAATTTGAAACTTCTCTTATTAGTTTTTACCCATAGTTTCCATCTTCTGTGTTATCTTCAACAGGTTTTGGCATTGCCTGCCATCTCGGTGTGCTCACAGGTCTTCCCTGTATTGGTGTAGCCAAAAATCTCTTGCAGGTTGAAGGTTTGGCCAATGATGAGCTTCACAAGAAACAAGTAAGTGTTGAAAGGTGTGAATTCCAATTTCACTTTCTTAATTCCAAACAGTAGGAGGACTGTTAGTTATTATCCCCCAGCAGAACATCTTGTTAAAATTGGAAAAGCTGCTAGCTTATGTGTACAACTAGTTGTTCTGTTTTGTTTTTTTTCATTTAAAATGGGAACAATGATGGTGCTATCTACAAAATGACTGATTGACAGTTATGTAGTGACCAACATGTATTGCCCACTGTGTGTTAAAAAATACAGCCAACCTTGTCTTCCTGCTGGGTTTGTTTTTGTTTTGTTTTGTTTTTTGCATGACCTTGACACATGAAAATTACTGAAGAGGAAGCCACTTATTTCTATGCAGAGTAAAATCTGTAAAGGAGAATTCCATCCAAACTATTTTGGTTTCAGACTTTTTATACAGAGATTTCCTGTGCAGAACAGCAGTGTGGAAGAATCACTGACACATGGCTAGCACAACCCTGTTTTTTTAGCAGAAGGAATTAATCTTGAATTGATCCAATTACCTTCATCCATCCCAGCATATCTGCTGTAATATATTTCTTTCCCCATACTGTACTTCAGATCCAGGACCTTCAGGCAGGAGGAGATGCATTTCCACTCTCAAGTACCTCTGGGAAACTCTTGGGTATGGTAAGTACTGACGGGTTGGTGGAGTGTGTCTGTTGGGAAGTGGAAAGAGTCAGAAGAAGTGAGAGAGCAATAAAAAAAAGACTGATTCATCCTCAGCTATTTGGCAACAGTTAGACCTGAACCAGTCTCTGCTTTTCAACATTAACATTGTCTTAAGCATCATGCTTTGTCTTGGGTGCTTGTAGAAAACTGATCAATAAATATCAATGAATGAATGAATGAATGCATGCATGCATGCATGCTACCATATTCATTTTCTTTTTCTTTCTTCGACTTCAAAATCCAGCTTCTCGTTCCATTAGCCAGCTAGAGGAGAAATAAAAAGAAGGGAAAGAGAACTCAGTGTCCTCCTGGTTGAACAAAGTGTGTATGTAGATGCACATACACAGTGTAGTATTGCCTCCTTAAGGGTACAAAAAGTATATGAGTCTAATGTTTACATTGTTCCTACCCCATTTTTCTTGTTCCTATATCATTCATGTTCTTTGGAAGTTGCACAGTTTGCATGTACCTAGCACTATCTCTGTTTCTTATCTGCTCAGGCCTTGCGCAGCTGTGCCAAGAGTACCAAACCTGTGTATATTTCAGTAGGCCACAAGATAAGCCTTCTCTCGGCTGTGCGCCTGGTCCACTCTTGTTGCAAGTATCGGATTCCTGAGCCCATCCGGCAGGTATGAGCAGAATGTGCACTTAGAATGCTGACACCAGCAACCTCAAGCTAAACAACTCGGTCAGCCAGTGTGAATGCACTCTAAATGTATGGACTTCAGTTCCCAGAGTTCCTAACTAACTATGACCATTGCTAAGAATTCTGGGAGTAGAAGTCCATACGTCTAGAGCACACCCCAGTTAGGGGAGGCTAGGAAGCTAGGTGGGGCTAGGTGATGTATCAGATCATTTGGAACTTCATTTGTTTTATTAAATGCCTCTGGAAAGTCACAAATAGGGTGTGAAGGTGACAGCAATCCTTTTGTTGCTTTTCAACATTCTGTGTCCTGAAAATGTGCAAATGAATCGTTTTAGGGCTTGATTTAGAAATTTAGAAAATGACATAGTTCAACTGGGATTACATGAGCAATTGTGCAGTTTGACTGAGGTCCTGAATCAGAAGCAAGATATAGTAAAGTCAACCCTTAGGTTTCCTATTGATTGAAAACCAAAAATAAATTGAACATTTTTAATTTCAAATACATTTAAATGAAATTTATATTCATATTAGACTCTTCCAAAGAGTTGAAACTTGCACAATATCAGAGAAATTGAAACAGGGATTTTAAATTTCAGTTTTTAAAAAAGGAATATTTCTTACCCTGGATCTGCAGAAATGGGGATCAAAAGTTATCTGCTCCATTTTTTTTGGAACTTTGTAATTTCTTTTTTAAAAATCTCTAAAGCAGTAATGGTTGGGTTAAGAAGCCAAGATGTATTCTCAGTGAATAAGCATCCCTTCTTTCAATGAAAAGCTCTGCAACTACAGATAGTCCCCGGGTTAAGGATGCCCAGTTTACAGACAACCCATAGTTAAGAACAGGGCCTATTGTAGCAAAATTTGACTTAAATTCACAATGATTTGAGTTAAATACACAATGGTTTGAGTTAATTACACAATACTACTTATACAA